ACATCAAAGAAAAGAAGAAAGATAAGAAAACATCAACAATAAAATACAATTTGAATAATCTAAGAACAGTTCATAATCTCTCCAACAGAAACTTAAACAGTCACGAAATCACTCTACTGGAGAAGGGATTAAACTTCAATTTACACAGAAAACCACTTAGCACTCTTGAAATCGCTCCGATTATAGAACCTATGATCGCACAACTACCGGAAAAAGAGTCGCATTTACTACGTCAAAAGACATCCCATATTCTGACGAAACAAAAACACATTACCCCAAACATTTCAAAAGAAGAATTGAAGGCTCTGAATTCACTTAAAAAAGACAAAACAATTATCATCACTAAAGCCGACAAAGGCAACACAACAGTAATCATGAATAAAACAGATTATATTAATAAAGCTCTTGAACATCTCTCAACAGGACCTTATGAAAAGATCAATCCAAAAACTTCTCTAACGATTAAGAATAAAGTCAAATTAGAAACAAATCAACTTCTGAACGAGCTAAAACCAATCATTGGGGTTCCGCTTTGGTTTGCTTTGCATCCCAAATCATGTAATGTCTCACGGTTTTATGGCTTACCAAAAATTCATAAACCAGATATTCCTCTAAGACCAATAGTAGACTTCACAAACACCCCAACATATGCACTATCGAAATATTTAAGCAATATATTAAAACCATTACAACTCAACCTACATAATATAATTAAAGACACATATGACTTTAAATCAAAATTATCCGGATTAATCATCAAGAAGAATGAAATCATGGTAAGCTTTGATGTCGTTTCTTTATACACAAGTGTTCCCATTGATAAATGCTTAGAATTCATTAAGGGTTTACTTGAGAACGACAATACTCTTCCTGACAGATGTCCGTTGAGCATCAGTCTAATCATGAAATCATTAAAACTTTGCTTAAATTCAACGCTATTTACTTTTAACGGTATTTTATTCAAACAAACTAACGGAGTAGCAATGGGATCCCCCGTGTCCCCGATTGTAGCCAACCTTTTTATGGCATACATAGAATCAAATATCTTCGCCCACAACATTATACCACGAATTTGGCTTAGATATGTAGACGATACATTTGTGGTTATAAAAAAGACTCATCTAAGATCTTTTTCAAAACGAATTAATACACTCTCATCGCAAATCAAATTCACCAATGAAAATGAAAATGCTCATGGTGAGCTACCATTCTTGGATTGCTTAGTAAAAAGAAATCCAAATGGAAGTCTAAACTTATCCATTTACCGAAAGCCGACGCATTCAAATCGTTATATTGACTTCCATTCAGCACATCCTTTCAGTGCTAAGATCTCGCTAGCCTTAAATCTTTTTAGAAGAGCTAACAAGATCATCACATCAGAGGAAGACAAACGAAAAGAACAAATGAATATAATTAGTACCTTACAATTTAATAATTTTCCTATGAAGATTATTAGAAGCATATTAAAACAAAACAATTTATTACATTATAATAATGTTTCGAATGAAATGCCATGGATTGGTACTGTAGTTCTACCATACCGTCATGGCACAACAGAAGAAATTCAAAGAATCTTAAAACATCACAGAATTAAAGTGTATTACAAAACAACGAACACACTACGTAATACTTTAGTTCGCCTGAAAGAAAAAATCCCTTTCATGTCCACACAGAACTGCGTCTACAAATTAGGTTGTATCGATTGTGATGCCTATTATATTGGAGAGTCATCCCGCGAAATCGTGACTAGAGCCAAAGAACATATTAGGTACACAAAGAAACCTCCTAACAATCCGGTAGAATTGAACCAACTTCAAATTAAATCGGCAATAGCAGTTCATGCCATTTTCAACAACCACCAAATCGATATTAAAAATATCAAAATATTGCAAAAAGGCTTTTCCAACTACAAAGAAAGGAGGGTAGCTGAGGCGTTCCACATAATGCTTAATCCTACTTCTCTCAATAGAAAAGAAGGCCTTACCATACACCCTACTTGGACCATCTATCCTAACCATTCAGTCTGATTGTATTTACAATTTCACACTTTCATATTACAAATTTAAACTCTATCCTTTCTTACCATAAAGGTCACATAAGTTTTCATTCTTAAACAATGCACATATACATACACACACAAATTTACATACTTATCACTTATGAATCAACTTGACAGAAATGACATGACATCAACTTGTTCAGACCTGTTTTTTGATTGATCAAATATTATTCTTGCATTGTTCCGTTGTACTATTTAAACTTGGATTAATTTTAATTTGGTTATTTATTCTCTGAAGAAGTGACTTACACTAAGCCACGAAACGTCAGAAAATCCAATTTTCTACTCATTGGGATATTACAAATATATTATTTTTATTTATAACAATCAACCCAATGCTCAATTTATTCGAAATTATCAAATCAAACCTTGGTAATGACACCTACAAACTCATTATGTGTAAATTGTTCATTGACCCATAGCGAGAATACTAACAATGATTACAGCTCTGATTATCGATGCCACATTGGCATGACTGTCTAACTTTTATATCGTGACGATACACTGGTTGGAGTACTTTTTCTTTGTGGTTGTATTATACCAAGCAGGTCAGATAGAGTAGTACTACCAAGAACAAACAATAATACCAATGTGTTGTGGTGTGAGACAACAAGATATCTAAAACTTTAGCCTGCTTTATCACTTACTTTGGAACAGCAAAAATGCGTAAACCAAGTCACCTCGAGACGTGATCATGTAAGTCTTGACTAAGTTAATATACTAGAACAAGTACCAACGCTCAAATATAATCAAATTCACTGACCTGAGGAGAGCATTTGGCTACCTTGACCAAGAGGTTTTGTGGTTGTGTTTGTCGTTGAAAGGTGTGTTGGAAAGCATGTAAACCTCCTGAAGACTATTTACTTGAATACCTTTCGTTGAGTTAAGGCCGTAATTGGCAACTTTCATCAGCGTTCTTCAAGGCAGCTCGCTATCCCCATTTTTCCTCGTTACAAGTATTCACATAGAAATTTCCTTCGTTTAAATTTTCAAGTATATATCTTCTACTCGGAAACTCGCTTATCAATCTAGAATACTCAGATGATCATTGTGCTAAATAAGGATAATTAGAAAGACCAATCTTCAAAACGCCTCGAGCAACAATGCAAAAACTTATGGGTTGCTTTTCTTGCAATTTTAGGACTGAACTGCAACATCACTTAGATTGTTCACAGCGAGTGAAGGAGTTGATTTAGTCAAAAGCAAATAATTTATCTCGGAACTCTCATCAGCCCATTAGGGCTGATGTCCGTTGAAATCTCGGCAAAGTTTCAGAATACTCGATTGGCTTTTGTCAAATATTCTGCAGTAGCATTTTAAATTTAAATTATATACCTGATACTTACAAAATAATATCGGTTTATCTTATGAAAAGAAATATAATATTTTGGTGTATTTATCAAAACATTTGTGTGATATAAGACGCAGAAATGAGAGAGTTCATTAGATAGACCAATATCTGATGATAGGATAGGATTGATACATTTTGATATACCAAATGAATAAAAACATTTTACACTTATGAGACAGCTTAGAAACATCTCCATCGATACAAAAACTGTTCATTTTTTAGATATTAGACTGTCTGAGCGCACACAGTAGGTATTGAATAGTTAATAGCTGAATCATTAAGCCTTAAAGTTCATATTTTCACTACCTAGTTCACTTTGATCAGTCAAACAAAAAATTCAACATACCCTTTGAAAGTAAATGTAACCTCAAAGTCAGACGCAGACTAAGAAGTTTAGTTAATCGACACAGCTTTCCGAACTCTAATCAGACAACATATTCTATGCAGTTACCAAACGTAATAAATGTAATGCGGCAGCTAAAAATTTTTATGAGAAAGCGGACACAACCCATATCTGCCACAAATTAGTAAATCAACGAGTGAGTTCAATGCAGCGTACAAATCTAAGGCATCTCGTAAACCAAACATAGACTGATGCAAACCCAATTTGACAAATCTTTATGCTTTAAATGCATTTAATTCAAGTGTCAGTTGTTTTCATACTTCAAATTTTTGATAATATTTACGTAACCACACCAAGGACATTAGAAATTTACTGGGTTTTGTCATAACTATTCGTTAATTGAAAGATTTCTCTCTAAAAGGCAAGTTCATCTCGTTTTCTAAAAGTCATTTTACCTTACATTCTTATCTACATCGGTCAGGTAATTTTCGTATTATCATGTTATATACTCATTTTTCTCTTCGTTCACGTCCAATAATACAGGTATGCATATATCTTCGATGCTAATATACCATTTGTTATGAACAACAATCTTTATAGCATTCTGAATCACTTATTTCAGCAACAGTTCTATGCGCCTTTCTGATTAATCATTATTATTTATTCCCGTGGCTATTATGGTTTATATACGATAATTTTGATGTATAAGGTGCTCGTATATTGTCAGTTTATTTGGAGGTCTAGCAACACACATGTGCATGTGAGTCATCAGTCTAAGCAATCAAACAAACTTCTTGCCCCCTGGATGTAACTTGGTTTAAAATATCTCCAAAATTCATTAGCACTAATGAGCATTAGTCAAAGAATATATAAGAATGAGATAGGCCGACCAAAGTGGTGAGCTTTTTGTTTAAAAAAACGCTGCAAGATCCTGGGGGAACGAATGTCTTTTTGTTTCCATTTTGTGTACTTTTATTCTTTCGATGAGGTAGTTTAAAGACTACCTAGCAGTCCGCTAAAAATTATGGATGGACATTGTGAGCATTTACATGATGTCACAAAAATAGTGATTGATGTCACTAGCAAATTTGAGAAACGACCATAATTTATGCGCTTTAAATAAAGTTTACAAAATGGTTACTCCTGCACCTTTGTATTTACTAATTTCGCTTAAACCAGTAGTAGATACAATGCCAAATTTCACCAATACCTAGAATGGCAGGAAACATGGTGTTGGCAATTTTTTTAAAAACTGGCCCACAGTTTACTAATATTCTGTTCGTAGCTACTCAATTGACAAAAATACAAAATATATGTCATTTTCCACTTACTTTCAAATACATTGAGGATTGAGTAGACTGTTTGTAATAATAAAATGATACATTTGTAATATCCCAGTGAGTAGAAAATTAAATTGTTTCTGAAGCAGCAACTTACACTATGCCATGAAACGATAGAAATTCTATTTTCTACTTATTAGGATATTATTTTATAATTACTCTTTACTAATGTAAAGAAAACGTAACGATTATATTGAACTGATGTACTATTTACATATTTTAAAATCAAATTTTAAAAAACATCTTCAGAAACTAGATTCAATAATATCAGTATCGTCAATATGCGTCTTCTCGACAGACTGACGATTTATGTAAGAGTCCATGGCAACTTCAGAATCACTTAAAGATTTAGTCAAATCATTTTCTTCCGAAACTGAATTAAGTTCTTGTTCAGTGGAAGATTTATGGATTTCAATTGAATTTGACATGAATTCGCCTCCTCCAGTTTCATTTATATTGTTTAAATCAGTAGAATTCAAAACACCAGATTTTGCAAGTACCTAAACGAACAGAAAAATATAACATTACAACCAATTTTTAAAAAAAGACAAAATTTTCTTTTTAGTAATCAGAAAATATATAGCCGCACATAAAATTTACACAAAAAAGTCAGACATATTTCTTATGCTACTTATAACTACAATTTCATGGATATTTTCTGAGAAAAATTCTAAGGAATATTTCATATAACACATGCTATAAATAATCAAAGAACATCCAGTGAGTAAACACTACAATGGATTAAAACGTGATGAAAATTTAACATAGATTCCAGTTCTGTGTGAGTAACATTGAGAGATCCGCTACCTAGATAGCCGGTGACAAACAATAGGTTTATATATACCATTTGTTTACTCAAGATCCTGAAGACCATAAGCACCATAGGTTTGGAATCAGGGTTTCCCAGCTTCGCTAGGTGAATCCTACGTACTCACCAACTCGGACATTCGCGTTTTGTTCTCTGAATTTCGTAAACAACACTCCTGCTGCGAGAAGCCAATGAATAGGACTTCCCTGGTAGTGGCTACATACGCATTTCGAAAGGGAGAGCGGACTTTCCCCATTCTCGGGAGTATCAGAGAGTTTGGGAAAACCAGCTACCTATTCGGTCACACTGAGTGCAGAAGTTTATGGACGTTTCCTTGGTAAGATAACATTCCATAAGATACGCTTCGACTTAATATCATATAAAGTTAGTCTGAGTACTTTAAACCACGTGTCTGTTGTAACGCTTTTTTCTTCTTTTTATAATGTTTAAGAGGGACAATGAAATTTTATAGTCGTTTTACTTATAAAAGAGATTCCCTGTATTCATTTGTGTTCGAAGTTGAAGAACAGTGTCCACTATTATGCATATTCGTAGATTCAATTCAGCACAACAACTATGTAAACGAATATACAGAAAGTCAAGTAAAAACTCAAAACTACCGACTTGCTGAATTGACTTCATATCTACTGTATTAGCTAAATCATCTTCGTTTATGTCCATACTAATATCCATATGTATATAATTCTGAGCAGGATCAAAATCTGTTGGTGATTTGATGTCACCGAGATTTTCGTTTAATTCCTGTCCACACTGTTCAAAGTGTTCCTTAGGAGGAATTTTTGTTGACTTCCTTGAAGATAATGGAGTAGAACGATAAAAATTTGAATTGAATGGTGCAAATGATGATCTCGAATTTAACGAAGTTCGAAGATGATGAAGTGGAGTTTTTAAAATATTTGATCCTTTGTTAGTTTTATCATTATCATGAGATCTTGATGGAGTTTTCTGAGTTATACTTATTTCTCGCAAACTTTGCGTAATTGAATCCTCTATAGTTATGCATTCTATATCAGCAACTGGTGCACTAGGAGGTGTATCGAGGCACTCATTATCCGACAGATCATCAGTTGGAGAATTCCTGATTTTCAGAGATCCATTATCATTCTTCTTCTGTATTTCTACAACTTCAGTAGCATCTTGTAACTGACGTCCTAGCTTTGGCGAGAGGGGTTCATTTACCCCGTACGTGTTTACAGAACTAATTCGATCAACTGATTGATGCTCAGCAGTGGTGCATACTAATGGTATATTTGAATTGGGACTTATATTTTCACTATGATGTTCAATATTAGATGAAGTGTAAATGATGTTAGTGTGTGGATTGTTAAATGATGTTACTGGTCTATTGAACATTGGTCTATGAGTGTCAGACTTGGAAGGCTTGAACAATTGATCTAATGGTACATGATTAATAAAACGATTGTCATGATCGTGGTAACTGGAAGGTGGTAATTTATTTTGTAAATTAAGATTTGCTAAATGTGTTGGCAATGATTTTACAGTACTTTCTGCTTGTGTCATTGTGACTGCTGGCATTTCTTTACCAATTACTCTTCCTTCAACAGCACATTCTTCAGCTATGGCACGTTCAGCTGCAACACAACGATTCATAACGTATAATTTCTCATGATCCGTATCAATAGCTCCTTCGTTAATAGATTCCTTACTAAACATTAAATCATGAAACGATAAACCATAAACAACATGCTTTAGTGCATCACTACTGAGGAATTTTAAATGTGGGCTAATGGAACTATCAGACCATCTATCTGAACCATCATGTAATATGTCTAGCTGCCGTTTAGTTTCAGAAATACGTGTGTCTCCGAGACTAAATAATTCAACCAGCTCTTGGCGACTGAAATACCGGTAAGGATCTAAGTCCGTTTTGTTTTGGCCTGTCGACGTTGTCTGGCGAATTACGGAATCTTTGAATATTTGACGACGATAAATCTTTTCTTCGACAGTTGCACAAGTAATCAATCGGTATACAACTACATCTAATTTTTGACCTATTCTGTACGCACGATCTACAGCTTGTGAGTCTACAGCTGGATTCCAACTTGGATCGAGAATGATAACACGATTAGCTGATGTAATTGTCAGTCCAACACCACCAACCTACAACAAAAAATCATGAAATATGAACCGAGCATGGATTATTTTAAGATATATTACATGTTTATATTAATGAACTTAGTCATATTTATTAAGTGAAGGATAACGCTTTTATCAAGTTATAAAAAAGCGTAAGTGAAGCATAATTAAAAATCGAGTTAGCGAAAAAATGTTATCAGAAATTAGCTACGAAGTACTAACTTCTCAATGGTATTAGATAAAATGGCTTAGTCCAGGAGGGTATCGAAACTACGTCGCACAAAGAGACTAAAATTACCAAGAAAATAGATGGAAAATGGTTTAATTAATCAATGAAATCAGAAGTGTAACTTATTAATTAAACCATTACAGTCCGAGTAAGAATTTAGCAATGATAATTTTCAATTACTCAAAGAAATCATCTCACCATTTATCGAAAATGCAACTGAAATGATGAAGAAGAATTACTTCTGATAGTTATTCTTTAATTCCTTTGGTGAGCGAGTGATGTACGAAACTTACATTCTCCAATCGTTCATTTATTAAAGGACATCTGATCATGTTTATTTTGGGTTTGATATGTTGTATATAAGAATGCTATTTCATAAAATATAAGTTGTAACAAAATAAATTCGTTTACGACAAAATAATTATAGCTGTTACAACTTTTGTATTTGTGGGTAGGGAGTCATTTTCTGCATCGTAGTAGTCATAAATTTTCGAAGACTATACTGATGCTTGAAAATCCCAACTTGAAATAGGTGATTTTCCCAGACAAAAATCTGAGTCTTTTTTATTTGAACGTCCAATTGACAAGCTGGTGGAACAGTGTACAAATTGAAAGCGTAACGTAGGTTCATATACCGGTCCTTTCCTTAGAATCTTGGAGCCGACGTCACTATGAATTTAAAATAAGCTTTTGTCAGACCCTTAGATCCTTGAGATACAGTTTATGATCGGTAATTATAACAAGATTTAAAAATTATTTATTGTCCTCTGAACTTTGATATTTGATTAACAGTTACACTACCAGAGTGATGAATTTATCACTAGACTTTGTAAAGTGAAGTGGACACACAAACACTTTTTAGTTGCAAGTTCGTCAGCCATAATCAACGTAAAGCTCAAGACAAATATGAGTTATCCCAAGTTGACACACTACATCACGACGAGATGAAGTTAACAAGATGTATAACAAAGAAGCTGTGATAATTTTAGTAGCAATGATATTTATAAATACCAAACATTGAGAATATGGTTTGTTCCTAAGAGGATTAAACTACAATACAAGTGACGCCTCAAAACTAGAACTGTTCGCCACACTAAATTCAACACTCAAAACTGATGGAATAAGTGAAGAAACTCAACAGGAAGTAAGACAAACCATAGTACTGCTAACTAGACAGAAGACAACACCTAGCTTTAAAGAAACTGAGAACTAGAGAACATATTATCATAGTTCAAGAGGACAAAGCATGACCTACAGTAATTATGGACAACGAAGAACATATCAGGCAAGCCGAGGAACTAATTAAGGATAAAAGCGTAAATAGACCAATGGACACAAATCTAACCGAAAGGTTAGACAACCAAATCTCAAGGGCATTGAACAATCTTGTGAAGCAGGCCAAATATCGAAGCAACATCAACAGAGTTTTCAGTTTCAGCTACAACGTAGGATCAGGCACATATGTGCATCGGTCCAGGTTGCCATACCTCATTAGCACAGCAAGATGAACACCGGATTCATAGGAGTGGTTAGGTCAAAGGTGGTAATATATTGGAGAAAGATTGTATATGAGGATACAGTACAGGAAGAAAGAATTAGTTATTAGAAAGAAAGATGTGAGGTGATTTTAATCTCTTAGTTTAAGGGAAGACAGGGAGTGTATAAACCTACGCCATTGTGATCGATTCTGAGCCATGTCACCAAGAGTCTCCAACCATTGCTTACGAAAGTCACGCGGACCCCAACCAAGTAGTCTGCATCTACCAGAGGTTAGTCTCTTCAAGCACTGATGCCACGTTTTGGTTTGGCCGCCCCTTACTTTCTCCCAACCATCTCCAATACCGGTTAGCATTGCACGTCGTGGTAATCGGTGTTCGGGCACACGTAACACGAGGCCCAACCATCTCAGTCGATGAAGATTAACAACCTCATCAACTGATTTACCATCATTCCCTAATACCCTGCGTCTAACCTCACTATTACTTACTCGGTGATCCCAACAGACGCAAGCAATATTTCTAAGGCATCTGTGGTCAAATACTAGTAGCTTACGGGTGTCTTCTACTCTTAAAGGCCATGTTTCGCTGCCGTAAAGTAAAACAGAACGGACTACCACGCAGTATACTCGTCCCGTAATTGATAGACGGATATCTCGCCTTTGCCAAAGGTGACGTAAGTTGGCAAAAGCCAATCGAGCTTTTCGAATCCGTGCTGAGATTTCGTCTGATATCAACCCATTAGGGCTGCTCAGACTTCCAAGATAAGTGAAGTTGTCGACGCGTTCGACTACTTCACTCCCTATTCTTAGTTCAGGTGTTGACGCAGGCCAGTCCTGACGCAACAACTTGCATTTAGAGGGAGAGAAGCGCATTCCAAAAATTCTGGCATTGTTGCTTAGTGCTACCAAAAGACTGCATTTTGTCAGCGTCTTCACCAAACAGGACTATGTCATCTGCGTATTCTAAGTCGATAAGTGGGCCTCCTGGTAGATCAATACCCGAGAATTCAGTCGACGAGAAGGTTATTTCTATCAATAGGTCTATGATGAAGTTAAACAAAAATGGAGAAAGTGGACAGCCTTGACGGACACCACTTGAGGTTGCAAAAGGAGATGACAGTTCGCCATAAACTTTGACTCGACTAGTAGCGTTCGAGTAAAGAGCCTTCACAAGGTTTATGTACTTCTGCGGTACGCCTTTTAATGACAGACACTGCCACTGAATCTCGCGGTCTACCGGGTCAAATGCTGCTTTTAAGTCAAGAAAGACCACCATTGTCGGACGCCGATAAGTATGCCTGTGTTCTAGAACCTGACGAATGGTGAATATGTGGTCGATGCAGCCACAACCAGGTCTGAAGCCAGCTTGGTTCTCTCGCGTTTGCAGTTCACGAGTCTTAGTTAGGCGTCTGATAATTATCGAGGCTAGTATTTTAGATACTATATTAGTTAAACTAATCCCTCTATGGTTGTCACAGGATGATTTTAACCCTCTCTTATATATTGGGACGATAAGTGATTGCTACCAGTCAGATGGGATAACGTCTAACTCCCAGATCTTAGCTAAAATATTAGTCAACCTAATCGCTAAAATTAGACCACCAACTTTAAAGACTTCTGGAGCTAATCCATCTGAACTAGCTGCCCTTCCTCGTTTCAGATTAACTATAGCCTTCTCAACTTCAGCAAGAGTTGGGAGACCTACTTCAATGTTCTATTCACATTGTCTGGGAATGGAGGGTAGTCGTAGAGTAGCTGAAGGCCAATTGAACTGTTCTCTAAAATGCTCCGCCTATCGTTCTAAACGTCTGGACTGAGAGCAGATGAAGGTATCGTCTTTTTTCGAAATAATCTCTTTTACACTTGACTTATTAATTGCAGTTCCTTTTATTAGTATGTAAAGCTGTCTTGTGTTTCCTATAGTCGCCGCCTTTTCCATCTCTTTTGCTTTCGTTACCCACCACTGCTCACGGTCGACCCCCGAATGCCCTGGTACGGCCGAGAGTGGGGTGAGTCCGCTCTCCCTCTCGAAATACTCTCACACGGCCGCGCGTATACAGCCTCTGCCAGGGAAGTCCTACTCATTGCCTTCTCGTGGCGGGGGTGTTGTTTACAAAAATGAGAGGACGAAAAGCGAATGTCCGGCGCTTTAACCGGATCACAAACCAATGGTGCACATGGGCTCCAGTATCCTGCGGGAACAAATGGCGTATGAACCAATCCTTGGTCACCGGCTACCATGGGATTGCATCTCCTTACGATGCTCCACTGCCTTGTGGGTTAGACCTTTAGGTCAAAGGCTCGGGGAGTGGCCCCCTAAGAAAACCACCTGCTTCGGTTTGGGCACCCGGGCAGTATCACAGCCCACACACAAACGATGAACTCTATGTCTTTGGCAACTACTTTTATCGCTCCGAAAAACAAAAACAATCAATCGATTCAAATAATTATCACTACTATTATTGTCATTATTAATACTATTATTATTACTATTATTGTCGTCATTATTATTATTATTATTATTATTTCCCACATTATTCACCCTCTTTCATACTTATACAGCGGCTCGGCTTTGGTGGAAATCCGACTGTATCTAAACGTTCTCGAGTCACTGTCCGGTTGAAAGTTGTATGTTACCATCGAATATGAGTACTGAAGCAGTTTTTCTGAAACCACGTGCGCCATTCAAACTGGCTGCCTTCAACGTTCGCACACTTATGCAGGTTGGTCAACAGATAGGGCTGGCTATGTCTTTGGAAAGTCTTAATATTGATGTTTGTTGTCTATCCGAGACCCGTATTCAAGACTCTAGCGAAGTACTGCAAATTCGCTCTACATCTGTCACTTCAAAAAGCTTGTTTTACGTGCGCTTATCCGGGGACCCTGTGGCATCTTCGTCTGGTCTTGCTGGCGTTGGTGTCGCACTAAGCGCTAGAGCTGAGGCAGCACTAGTCGATTGGATCCCCATTAACAGTCGGTTATGTGCTGTTAGATTAGAAAGTTCCATCAAAGTGAGAAGAAATCGGCGTGAGAAACGATGTCTTTTCGTCATCTCCGCCTATGCCCCGACAGATTGCAGCCCGGATGCAATCAAGGATGAGTTTTACCACCAATTATCTGTTCTTCTCCAGAAAGTGCGTTCGACAGATATTGTAGTACTAGCCGGAGACTTGAATGCTCAGGTCGGGCGTCTAGGCACAGAAGAGAGTCGTTTAGGTGGCCGATGGGGACTCGTTGGTCGCAGGTCAGATAACGGGGACCGTCTACTGCAACTATGCACAGACCACAACCTGTTTCTGGCTAGCACTAACTTTCGGCACAGTCATCGCCGATGTGCCACCTGGCGTCCTCCCTCTGCATCCCAAGCCTGGACTCAGATTGATCACATCGCGATCAGCTACCGCTGGCGTGGTTGTGTAAAAGACTGCCGCTCCTTTTGGAGTACCTATCTGGACTCTGACCATGCCTTGGTCTGCGCCAATCTTGCCTTACTTTTCAGTGGACAACGAAGTGAACGCCATCAACGGATTGATGTTAGCAAGCTGGTTGCAACTTCGGTTGCAAGTAAGTATCGAACCGAGCTACCCTCTAGGCTAGCTACCACTCCACCGAAAAGTATAGATGAGCATTGGTTGCAATTGCATGACGCCATGAAAATGGCGGGAACAGTCAGTTGTGGGTTTGCGAAACGTCCCGCTTTTAAGCACTGGGTTTCTTCTGGTTCCTTACAACTCATTGAAGCCCGTCGGTCTACTCCGGGTGACCGTGAGTTTGACCATAAACGAAGGATGTTATGTAAGGAAATCGGGCAAAGCTTGCGTAAGGACCGAGAAGCCTGGTGGTCGAAGCGTGCTAATGAGCTGGAAGCAGCAGCTGCATCTGGTAATTACCGGAAGCTATTCCAGCTCATCCGAGCCACTGGCAGCAAGAAGTCTGGTGTGAGTGAAACAATCTGCGAGGATGATGGGATGCCAATCACTAACATCCACCGACGTCTTGGACGGTGGGCAGAATTTTTCGAAGGGCAGTTCAACTGGCCTGCTGCTCAGGCAACATCAGTCAGACTGTCCTGCCCTCCATGGCCGGTGACGACTGATCCACCAAACGAGGAGGAAGTCCGCAAGGAACTCCAACTCTTGAAGCGATACAAATCACCTGGCCCAGATGACTTACCTCCGGCTCTTTTTAAAGATGGTGGTGACTTTTTGACTAAGGAATTGACGACGTTGTTTACAAAGGTTTGGGAGCTAGAGTGTGTACCAACGTCATGGAATGAGTCGATAGTTGTCCCTATCTTTAAAAAGGGTTCACGTCGTTCCTGTAACAACTATCGGGGGATAAGTCTACTTCCGATTGCGTCCAAGCTATTGGCTTCCGTCATACTTCGTAGGTTGTTCAAAACCCGAGAAAGATTGACTCGCGAGGAGCAGGCTGGTTTTCGTTCTGGTCGAGGATGTATTGATCATATCTTCACCCTCCGCCAAATGTTAGAACACCGCCATACTTATCAAAGGCCAACAATCGTAGTGTTTCTTGACATCAGGGCTGCCTTCGATTCGTTGGACAGGACTGTTCTCTGGGATTGTCTATTGAAGAAGGGTGTGCCTGAGAAGTTTATTAACATCCTAAAAGCCCTATATAAAAACACCTCAGGCAGAGTGAGGGCATACAACCACCTTTCTCCATTGTTCCATTCGAGTAGTGGGGTTGAGCAGGGTTGCCTAATCTCACCATTCCTCTTCAACTTTGTCATCGATGACATTCTGGAAACAGCTCTGATGAATGTAAGTAATGGTGGTGTGGATCTGTTGCCTGGAGAAAGACTTCTCGACCTTGAGTATGCGGACGATATTGTCTTACTGTGCGATAATGCCCAAGGCATGCAATCCGCACTTAATCAGTTGGCAATCAGTGTCCGTAGGTATGGTATGTGCTTTGCACCTTCGAAGTGCAAAGTACTCCTACAAGACTGGCAGGATTCCAATCCTGTACTCACCCTAGATGGTGAACAGATAGACGTAGTCGAGAAGTTTGTGTATCTGGGTAGCTGTATAAGTGCTGGTGGGGGTGTGAGTGATGAGATCAATGCACGAATAGTGAAAGCCAGAGCGGCTTATGCCAATCTGGGCCATCTATGGCGCCTTCGTGATGTTAGTCTGGCCGTAAAAGGTCGGATCTACAACGCGTCGGTGAGAGCAGTTTTGCTCTATGCTTGTGAAACCTGGCCTCTCCGAGTTGAGGACGTTAGACGACTTTCTGTGTTCGATCATCGCTGTCTCCGAAGGATTGCTGACATTCAGTGGCAACACCATGTCAGTAATGCAGAGGTTCGGCATCGTGTGTTCGGGCACAGAGATGATAATTCAATTGGTGTCACCATCTTGAAACACCGACTTCGGTGGCTTGGACATGTTCTACGAATGTCGTCCCAGAGAATTCCACGTCGTGCATTATTTGCCGACTCTGGGACTGGTTGGAAGAAGCGGAGAGGTGGTCAGTGCATGACATGGTGTCGTGGCATGAAAGAAAGCTGCAAAGGACTGGCGTGTGTTGGTTCTTCACGACTCCCTGGTTGGGGTCTGAGAGATGGTGCTACACAGTGGCTAGAGACGTTATCAGATATGGCTCAGAATAGAAGCCAGTGGCGATCCTGCTGTAACCTTCTTTTACTTTCTTCATAAACAGTGGTTGTGTCTCCCTTACCTGAAAGATTTCTTCCGATTGTACCTCTGCGTTCCCTGATTACTAACACATTACCTTACACCAATCTCTTCGTTATTGTTCTCTCTTTTTTTTTGTTGCGCTCCTTAGCTTTTTTTTTCTTTGTATTCCTCTCGAATTTTCATTGTTTTGTGTGGCGCATATATATTGGCGCTCCCCTGTACCAATATTCATGTGTCCAAATAAATAAATAAATAAATAAATTATACTTTTTCTTAACCTAGATCTGATTTGTTTACGCCCTTCATCATGTTCAGAACGATTGTTTGAGCATAGTTGCAGCAGACGATCACCATTATCTGTTCGCTGTGTCGGAATACTAAAATACCAACCTAAATGCCTTTCTGCTTGGTTTAAACTACCTATCTGGGCATTAAAGTCACCTGCTATGAGTACTATGTCTGAACGTTTAGCTTTCTGAAGAAGCTCAGAAAGCTTTCTGTAAAATTCATCTTTCATTTCATCTGAGCTGCAGTCGGTGGGAGCGTAGGTAGAAACGACAAAAAGGCAACGATGTGTGTCCCGATCCTTCCGAGTTCTTACGTAGCCGTTTAGCCGGACAGCACATAAACGATGGTTGACGGGGATCCACTCTACCAGTGCTTGTTCCGCCCTCATGCTTAATGCTATCCCTACTCCTGCCAATCCACGAGAGCTGGCCATCGGATCACCAGATACACGGAGGGTGTATCTCGATGGCTCTCCGTTTCGCCGAGGTGAGGTCAAGTGAATGACCACACTGGAATCCTGTATGCGTGTTTCGGAGACACAGCATACATCAGTGGTAAGACACTCTAGGGTTTTAGCCAAGGAAGCCTGTTGACCGATTTGACATAGGGTTCGTATGTTGAAGGCTCCAATGTGTAGTTTGGAGCGAGGTTTCAGTAGACCTGGGACAGTGTTTTGAGCACTAGAATCGTTGGCTATGGTGACATTTGAAGAGGAAGCCGAAAGAGGAAATTTAGAGTTAAAAGTCGATGTAGGAGGAATAATAGGAATTGAAGAGGGAGGTTGATTATGAATACAGTGGTCTTGAGTGCTGTTAGAGGTATGAGGGCGGTTATTACTTCCCGGTTGCCCACACCATGGAAGGGTTCTTCTGGAGGTACCTGAAAAGGAAATTGGATTAGAGGTGGTCTTAGTGACCTGAGAGCGTGACCGCAGTGCCCAAGGAACAACTGCTTGAGGTCGGTCACACACGACCTTTTTATGGGCAATTTTTGCGTTAGCTTAGTACTTGTTGAGACCTTACCGCTGGAGACGGATATTCGTGGAATAAGGCGAGGTGTGCATTTTTAGGGTCGACCTTTTCTAACCCCACCCCACCCCTCCTTGTGGGAAGGCAGCATCGCTGTCATGCTGGTTGTCTGAAGGAAACACCTTACTGCTGTCACACCTCTGTACAGTCAGCAGTACGACTTCGCCTTCGGACCTTGGGTTTGTTGCATTTAGTCTTACCGCTCTTCAACCGACCTTTCTGACGTGGTAGGACCTTGAGGAACGGTTGTTCCAGTCAGTATAGCTCGATTGCTCCATCACGATAGGCAAGCCCGACCACCACGTCAAGGTAGCAACAACGGTCGGGAGATCGTACTTCTAGGGACCAGTCCTATAGTACGTATCACCAGGACGTCAAACAAACTTGACCCTGGCCAACATCAATATAGAATGAAATCTGACAGATTAGTACTCCCCAGATTTTACGGTAGGCCGAAAATACACAAACCAAACATCCCACTACGTCCAAGTGTAGTACTTCCCGGAACCCCAACATACAATTTGCCAAGAGAAATCTCACGAATATTGAAACATTTAGTAGAATATGGTTTGAGAAGACAGAATGGGAAGGAATACGTGAACGTATACGGGAACCGAATATCTAGCGGAATATTTAAAATGAATGCATCTCCCCCACTATGGCCGATTCTAAACCGTATAACCCAACGTCTCCAGCCATGGTTGGTGATTGTTGTACAGACGCCTTAGTTACAAAACAGTTAAAAGGATAACTAAAGTAAATTCAGCGCAGGAAAACTTCTACAGAACCCATGTTCAGTGAAGTATATTCCGTAAAGCAAATAAGACAGAAAAAATGTGCCAGACTTGCTGGCTTTCTGAAAAGGTGGAGTATCGAGCGACAAGTCTATACTGCACTAGATGACGAACGTACTGGAAAAGCGAATATCTTTCGTTTAGTGATGACTTAAGTATGAAAAACGCCGAAAACATATTTGACCAACTAAATATGTACCGCACTGAATATAAATGAGAAACATTTGTAAGATTGGCGATATTATCTGGCTAAAAATTGAAAAAGGTGTAGTAGACTCGAATCCTATTATATAATGGGTGAGCCACTGCTTCAATGTGATAATAATTATCAATATTTCAGAAATAAATTCAAACAATACCAGTCAAAAATTCTTACCATAAAGTCATTATTAAGTGGAAAGACCTAAAAACAAGGCTTAGTGACAGTATATAGTATATCCGAACAAACGCTTTAGAAGTGACTAACATCCGTTCACACTTACTTGAGTAGTTAACAGCATAACTGTATAAGATTTATCATTTTGAAATTTATTAATTATGCTTAGACGATCGCATACTTTTGCAGTACGACCATCTAATCGTAAAATACGATGTTGCGTAGGACAGTGCAAATTGTCATTAAATGTATAATTATTAACAGGACATTTTATATCTAGAATAACTTTTTCAGCCATATCAAGAAACTTTATACTTTGTGAAAATATCAACGTGCGCGGTGAATCTCTTTGTGGATTCGATTGTAATTCAAGCAAAAACTGTTTCATCAAACAATGAAGAAACAAGAATTTCCCAGATTCTTTAATCAGTTGTTCTGATGGTGGAAAATGTATTTTATGTGAAACAATTTCATCAATATGAAAATTATCACCTTTACCATTGCCATCATCATAATTTAAATTAAGATTTAAACATTGTTCAGTGGACAAAAGACGCGGATGATCACAGAGCTTTTTTAGAATTACCAATTCCATTAATGGTGAACGTTTTGTACGCTGCATTAATAATTCTTTTACGTTATCAAGTTGTAAAAAATCACGATATGTGGATTCTTGTATGGAACTTAAGTAAACCCATAATACAATTTCTGTTTTACGTGGCATTTTATCTTTTATCGGTACAGCCGCATTCATATTATACTGTTGAGATAAAACTTCAGATTTTGTGCGTCTCAAAAAATATGGATCTATTATACGTCGTAAACTTTCAGCCATTAATTGACCGTGTACTTTTTCAGCACGAGAAGCATCTCTTTCGCGTCCACGAGTTATTGGTTTGTCATATTCAATAGAAAACGTTTTTTGTGTACCTAAGAGTCGACCACGATGAGTTACATTGTAAAGAGACCATAATTCCTTGAGATTATTTTGTACAGCAGTACCAGTTAAGAGAATACAATGATCTGCATAAATTGCTTGAGCTGCTTTGGTCGTCTTAGCAGATGAATTTTTGACTTTATGTCCTTCATCCAATATTAAATAAGTCCAATGAAATTCTTTACCCATCCTAGCAAGAATATCACTGGCATCATTGTCAGTGGATTTTTGTTTTTTGTATGACCTTAAAAATTCAGGATTTGCATTTAAATCAGTAGACAAATCTTTTATGCTGGAAACAAGTGTTCCGTATGTTGTAAGTAGAATACCACCATGTCGTTGGATTGATACTAAACTTTTAAGACGATCCGCTCGACTGTTATCATGAAAAACAATAACACGAAGTCCTGGTGCCCATCTTTTTAGTTCAGCTTCCCAAGTAACCAAAACACTGACTGGCATTACAATCAACACTGTGCAAGAAAATTTACTAGATACGAACAGGCCAGAAAGAAAAGCAATAACCTAAAAATTAACGAAGAAAAAATATTTACTACTAACACAGCCTAAAGTAAATAAATAATTACGAACACCATATTCGAATTTAAACTTGGAGGTGAGAAATGTGAAGTGATTGGAAAATAGTTTTGCTATCACTATTTATGTCATGAGTATACGTTGTTTAGCACGCCAAGGAGAATGAAGTTGTCTGTAGCAACACAAAACGTCTAGTTCAAAAACATTGAGTCTCTGTAGGCTATTATTAACTACTTAATATTTATCAATTAACCTTAGCAAGTTCAAAGAGAAACAAACTGCATAAGACCTATAGGCACAAATTTCCACAAACCTTACTTGGAGACCGCGTAATCTAATGTTTAGAATGCGTTGAGTTGGTAGCGTATCTACCAGACAGTCACTATTCAAAAACTCCTATATAGTTTGCTTGAAATTTTTAATACCAGTAAATTAAGACACAGTTATTACATTCTTAAAATGTTTTTAGAAACCAGAAATTTAACCTGAATGTAAAGTGATATTCTAACTCACTCTTTGTCCGCTGAGTCAAACGCTCAGACTCCGTATAATAAGCAAATACTCAACGTCACTTGATGAGTGATAACGTAGACATTTTCTTTATACAGATGTGCTCTGAAGAATTAACCAATTTATTGTTTAGTAGACCCCAAATGCTTCCGAAAAGCAGAAAGTTCAGCAAATGACAAACTTATACACCTGGTTATTTCGTACGCACGATAGATGTCAGTATTTAAATACTAAGCAAGTCTTATATATCTATTCTGAAATGTTGTCAGTCACTTACTCCATAAACTTGATAAAACCATTAGTCCAAAAGTAGTGGCCAGTACTCATACTTAATTCAGTCTCTACAGCAGTTTATTGGGTAAACTAGAACATGAAACAATGGTCTCTATTTATCCCAAGTATGAAATAGTTCGTTATTGTCCATAGCACTGCATTGACTCGACATATATGTACGGTTACTCCCAAGTAATTTGAGGATCTCTAGGCAAGAGATTAAGCTTTGGTACATGAGGTGAGGATGGGATTACTTCTGGAAAAAGACGGAATCAGTAAAAAATAAGTGAACAGTTTTCTACCCAGCACTAACTAGGAACACAAAACTATTTTTCTGGAAAAGATAAGTCACTTTCGAGTTGAAAAAATGAAACGTATTAAATTAAATAACATTATACATGAGACGTTTGCTGGGTCCATTTCCAAAGCCACAAGCCTTAAATTACAAAATACACTTACCTGAACTGTTTTACCTAGTCCCATATCATCAGCTAATATGCCGCCAGAATTTTTCTGATGTAAACTCCAAAGCCATTTAACACCGTACTTTTGATAATCATACAATTTATCATATAACAACTTGGGAACACTGAATCTATCAGCTATTTCGACCAAATCATAGGTGAGTTTAGGAGGGTCCTTTTCATCATCATGGTCAACTGCAGTAACAACATTATTAGTGTGCGACTTATAATCATAATGATCAACAGGAATTCCGTTTTCTTTCAAATAATTTTCGATCCTTTCAATTTTCCGCTTTACTTTATCGCATTGCTTAAGGTTGTAGGCTTTTTTAAGAAGACGAAGGCATTCAACATAGTCTCCAGATTGATATAACAATTTCGCTTTATCAATTAGAGTGAATTGAGTACCATCATAAAGCTATTTTTGTTCATGAAAATTTATCAAAAACGAGTACATACCTTTTCTTCCCCTGAAGCTTCTTTCGTGTTTGAAGTATCAGTATAGGTTGTAGGATGAGCTGATTCACTTCGTCCAATCTTTGATTCAATCTCAGCTGACGGAACACATAAATACGCTTCCTTCAGAAGATTAGTGCTGTCAGTTATGTTACTAGGAGATACATACTTCTCAGACTCGCAAACAAAGTACTTAGCAGCTCCCTGTTTGCATAAGCAGTAAAAACAAGAAGAATCTTACTTTTAAAGAATTTTCAGATTTTTCGGGAGCTATTGGAATGTTCTCCTTGGTATCTTGGCTTACTAAATTTTGAAGACGAACAATTTTTCGCATAAGACTAGAAGAAGGATTTATTGCGTAGGCATTCTGACAAAGCTTAAGTGACTCATGAAAATTCCCTTCCTCACATTTTAGACGCGCTTGGGTGACAAGTGATGAGAATTCATCCTCTCGACTCATCAGGAAGTGATTATTTTATTTACCGTTAGACAATCTACAAATCAAAATAGAATATTCATTAGCATAAGAAATTTAGACCGTGGTGTAGAAAAACTTTAGGTGGAATTCTTCACCAGGAACCCTCTACGATTACTGACGCTCTCAAACCTAAGTAAAGGAGAGTAAGCTATCCCAACCCCCGTAGAAAAGAACCTCGCTAAAAAGCTTTAGCCAGAAACAACCGCTTAGATCACAAATTCTGCAGTGAGTTGAAGGGCCTTCATATAGAAGAGTTATGACCTCTCATGATGAAAGCTAACATTCTTCGAAAGTTAGATGACCGATGTTCCTCTTAAAAACTAGAGCAACAATTAACATAGGTAAGTAGAAAGTTCAGATAGCGGGAAGGTCTTTCAAATAGCGGGAAAAATGATGAATAACCTGACCCTTATTGAGATAAGCGAAGCCCATCGGACACAATCTGGATGGAAAAGACTAACTTTGGGAGAGGTGATGTTGTATTCTGATTATTAAGAAGAGAACGCCCTGCAAGCAAAAGTCTAACATATACTGTCCAACAAAAGCATGAAAAGTGCTCATAGGATGGAAAACTCACAGCTACAAGATCACCAAAGTATCCTTCAAAACAAAGTGGTACGTACCCACCGACGATAGCAGTGAGGTTGAGAAATATCAATTTTATGAGACAGCGCCCGGGAAGATCTGACCATCATGATGAGAGACTTAAACTATTTGCAGATAGTCGTTTATCTCAAACTATCACCCATATTGAGAGGAATTGTTATGCCTGGAAATCCATATTTCCCCAATAATGAAAGCAAACAGATTACAATACCATCAGTTATCACTAGAAACACTTGATAAAAGGCTGTCGTTCCCTATGAAAATCATAGAATGATACTAAACTCAAGATAAAGAAGATAAATTATAAATGTAACTAGATAACTGTTATGTATTTCACACCACTTTAATTACAGTTTCGGTGGACGAATCAACCAAACTCACTGAGGCATGTTACGCATTCATAGCAACCTAACTCAACTGGGAATCATGAATGGAGTAAGAGTAGGTTGGAAGAAGACTAAGAACTTTTAATCCAAAACAAGGTATAGCTTCACTACATGATTGACTGAGATTGGGTCATGTTAAGCTGCAGACTTCCTAAAATTAATAATATCGGAAACACTACCCCTTAGTTGAAGGTAATATTACATAGCTATAAACGAATTGTATTGTTGGTGTATTCATACTTTATTTTACCTCCGACCTAAAAGCACTAATGTTACATTTACTTCATCCCAAAACTTAACTCCTTCGCTCGACCGTATGTTTATCATTTTTTATTTGCTCACTACTTACAGTACATAAATTTGGAGAACTTCGTCTTCCATACAACTGATTCTATTCTGTTGTGTTGATGAGGTGAGACAACTTGGATCGAAACACTTATGTACAAGGTCCAACATTTCTCATGGTTGAAAATCAGATGGGAGTCACACTCTGGCACACTTAGTCATCATATGTTTTATATTTGTGAGCCTTAGTATTTGACATCCCCTCTTTTTACTCATGTGTGTTGTAACGTTTTTTTTATTTTCGCTGGTTTTCTGTTGTTAAAAGTGAAACAATCTAAAATGGAGCAATTAGGTTAGAATTCTACTTTTATTAAGTTACCATGTGCAGAATAATACAGTCATTTTGATAAAGCCGATGAAAATTTCCATCCTGAATATGCGCGATCTGGCAAACTGCAAATATCAAAAAATAACTAACTAACCAATTACGCTTCAGCGAATACACAAATGTGAGTCCTAAAGTGCAAGTATGAAATTCTGATTCATAAGCTCATTTGTTACGTATAAATTCATGTACTTGACGAGGTTCGAACCTGCAACCTAGTTGATGAAATTTGAGCACCACTGATGTATCGCCCAGCCAATGACTTTATGAATTGATGGTACGTCTCGATTTGTCCGCTCCCAGCCTCTTTTCCAACCTACTACTCAATCCTGGTGTGTATCAAAGTAGACGGTAGTCAGGTATACGTAACATACCAACCACTTATTGATAAAGGTAAGATTACAGAAATAAACTCGTAAGCAGTTAACAATAATATCCCGATACTAAACTACTATCAGGTCTCGGTACGGTGAATTTGCATTAATTACTATCATTCGATGTTTTCAGTCAACAATAAATCCTAAGACAAACTGAATTATTAATACTATAGTAACTGAGTCATAGCCTAAGGAAAACTGTCATCAGAATGGTTAACAGCAAAATGGTTTGTAAGGGTAACTCAATTTTCCCATTTCTATCTTTGAAATAGACATTCATGTACAGATTAAGCTATCACTATTTGATTTTTTTTAAGGATTGGTCTACAACTAGGAGATTTAATTATTAACTTAAAATATTCAGACGAAGAGATTAATCATTTTCGAGAATAAGGTTTCATATCTAATTGAGGACAGAAAATCCTACCCAGATATAGACTGTAGCTATTCCACATATTTATTTGGCACTAATTCGCCCGCTTATACTTCTCTTCGGGAATAAAATGGAAACAAAATCACGAATGTCTTCTAACATACTAGTGCGGTGGCGAGACTAAGGACAAACTAATCAGATGTAAGATAACAGGCCTTGGATTTTGGCACGAAATTCATTCAACCACTTGGCCAAGTAGCGTTTTGGCATTGCAGTTTATGTCAGTTCGTGATGGAAACCCTAAATCTAATTCCTAAACCCAACCATCAACTGTAAATCATAGCTCTAATTACTCACACTGGTTTATAACCCTCATTTAGTCTTAATAGGTGGACATGGTCAAGGTCATTTTAGCGTCGCCCAAAAGTTATCCATAAACTGGTCTCACCAATTCAGTGAACGTATTCTTTGTCTATAAATAACTGTCAATTAAAACTATGAATCAACACCGTACACAAACCTCTAACATGACCACAATATATATATAATGTGGCGCACATATATTTGGTGCCCACTTGTACCAATAGTTATGCGTTCAAATTAATTAATTAATTAATCCAATAGTCCTGCAGTCAACAGCTACCTAAGCGATAAAAGCATTCAACATATTTAGACGACTACGAAGCGAATCCACTCCCATAATTGTTAACACTACTGTATCTGAAGGTGAAGCCAGATGAACGTTTACTTTAAAATGATGTTGAAGAGCATGCTAACGCACGAAAAATGTCATGATATCAAACTGACAATTTGTTCTACACTTTTAACATTCAACAATCATGACATCTCATATACTCTCAAAGTAACTTGGCAGAACTTAACGCCTATTAATTTCCAAGGAAGCGCCCGGATACCTTTAAAAAAACCTATTTTTACCCATTGATAAGGTCCGCAACTAACTATATATGCATTGTTCATGCTTAGGCCGAAAGTTTTGTTTTGCTTAAGATGAAGAAAACCCAATTATCTGTAAGGTGTTGAAAGGTCCTGTCTCAGTGGGATAATTTGCTTTAATTTTTGCAGCTTTCCTAAATAGTTTTAAGGAACGTATTGGACAAACTAACAATGATTCGTGGTGAATCGATCAGCTCAACAGATAACTGAGGATCTACAATCGAGCAGGCATTTTGAACCAAACCTATATAAAACTACTCTGTCAGCTAACTCAGTAAAAGAAGCTAGATCTAGACTATTCTTACAACAATATGCTTATTCAGAGTAAATACTGAGTGATAAAAGTATATGAATACTGGGCAAACATTAGTTCTCTTTAGCTTTAAAAACACAGCACGTGTAAAATAATGAACAATGGAACCGCAAAAAAAACCGAAAACTATCTTCTAAAAGCACTACGCAACCTACCGTGTGACAAATCAACAACCAACCCTAGCATCAATAGTTTGGAAGTGAAATTACCGCTTTCTCGTTTCGGCAACCTTGAGCGGCTTGGCCTAAGGCGGTCATTCCGTATTTAAAGTACCTCATGTCGATACCGTTTGTAGGCTTGCACAACTTAATATTATGTGTGCTTTTAGAAGATCCGTATATTTCAGGAAACGCTGTAAGATATATTTCAATGTGTGTCGAAAGTTTTTGACTGTCAGCTGAAGAAAACCTCGGTGTTGCATTTTTTGATCGTCAACCAATGGCTACATGTAGGTGAGTTTGTATGTTGCGTCCTTTTGTGACTGCCGTAATTTCTAGTCCATTCATTCAGTATGAGTGCTGCGTTAGTGTACTTCCAAGTGTATTTTGACTGACCTAACGGATACTTTTCGGCGGACAATCCTATCTCAAAGGCTTTTGACGTCGGATGAATTTAAAAACTCACTAAAAGTTTTAAGGAGTTCCAGAAGAGCATAATTACGATAGTTTCAGATGACGTTTATTCATTTTATTCACTTACAAGGCAAGCACTCCATTTTCCTGTGATTTATCCTAGCAACAATACTGAGCAGCTGCCGACTCCAGGAAAACAAACTAGTACTGGCTATTATTGTTACCAATAAAATGCATATTTACTTTGGCTATACAAATGCCCAGACAGATATTATGGAAGTTGACTGGTGTAAACAAATCTCACGATGTCTTTCAATGTGTAATCATCTCTTGCAACGTGCAAAAACGCCTGGATTACAATATCCATCGTTTGTACTATCCATTTTCCAAAACAGATCACACTTTGAATCGTGGACACAGAAAATATGCCTTTAACTAAAAGCTATAATCTTGGATTACTACAAACTCTTCTGTGGAATCGTTACTTAGTTATACCTGTAGTGTTTTTAGTTCCATGTAATGTATAAACAATAGTCATTTCGGTCCTCAACAAGCTTTCGTGGACTTCCAAAGACCACCGAGAATGATCTCCGACAATTTTATCACTTTAAATTTTATAGACGGTTGTCGCAACCTACGAAGTGATCACGGGCTTTTCGTTCCTTGAATGCAGTTTCTAGAGAATGGACTATGTATGTAGACGGATATCAGCCTTAGAAGTTTTGACGGTAAGTTGAGGAAGTGAACATTGGAGTTTACTGGTTTAATACCAGTTACCCATCATAGAAACTACGGTTGCGAAAGAAAGAACCAACTCCCTTCGTCAACGATTCTGAATCATCTTTTGATTTTTTGATTACTCTGCGTACTACAGTAGAGGATAAAATAGCTTCAAATAGCCTATTTTCATAAATTATTGATCACACTGATGCATTTCAACCCTTAGATGTTAGAAATCTTTTAGAGCAAAAGACTTTGCCGTAAAACCAACATTTCTTTCTCATCGCTCTAGTAGTACTGTCGTTCTACCACTTAGTGCACCTATTTACCTTAAAAACGTTTAAATAAGCGTTAATGCCTTAAAAATAATTGTCTTCATGCACTCACTAGCTCCAGTGTTTATCCTAAACGGCCCCAAAATCGCCATGATAACACACAAAACTCCACGAAAGCAATGTTGTTGACAAACGCAACAAGAAACCGGACAAATGGAATTTCAACGATGCAGACTGCAATCTTGACTTGATACGCTTAGACAATTTTGATATACCGAATTGCTGAGAAGAAAATGGTATTCACTTACTTAGTCAATAAACTTTTTTAATGCATTCTTTTGATGGTTAATGTAAATATGACACAATAAACGGGAATAATAAAGGTTCCTAGTTAGTTATTTGGATGCAGTTACAGGACCGCTTTAGAAGGGACAAAAGGCCAAGCAGCCTGTGTTTGTCTTGGCGGTGGTAATTTCTCATTCGATTCAATTTTCACTGAATTCCTCGACAATCAGAGCTTTACTCGGGAGTTGTGGTAATGGTTTTCATTTTCTCGTGATTCGATGGGAAAATTGGTAATCAGCTGACAAGCAATTTCTTCTCAGCTTTTGAACGTCTTTAGATTATCCTTTCATGGCCCTAATTACTTTTTGTAGTACCTTTCGATCCTTCCACTTCTTATTTTTATGATAATTATTGATTTTTAAATTGATATTTTACAATTTCAAACTGTAATCAGTTATTGGTGCCCTTAAGCAAGTTTTCATGGTTATTATTCAGTTTTTGTTATTATGACCTTTATGCTCTTCGCTTTCTATACGTCTATCAATCGGACAATTATCTTTCATAATTCGGACCCGTAATCTATATCCAGCCTTATATTTCTCTCTTACACCTTAATTATTGAGCAGCCTCATCTGGTAATAAGAGTCTTGAATCGGCTTATGATGCAATCTTTTTTATTCTTCTATAGGAATATGTTTTTCGTATAACGATAAATATATAAATTATTTCGTCGAAAAGAAAACTTTTTTCGTCGCATTCTCTTTATTTTTATTCAAGGAACATTGGTTTAGTTTAAATAATCTTTCGTCATACAGGAGCTTAGCAACTTCAGGAACAACCTTATTCACGAATATAAGAACCTCTTCCAACAGCTCGAAGTATCTCTTTAAGTGAGAGCTGCTCATAAGCAGTGCCCGAGCATCGTTTACGTAGTCAAAAAGAGCTTGGAGTCTTCTTGGTTGAAGACCAAGTATTGATTAGAGAGTTGTGAAACCGCTAGCGGCTATAGCACGGAAGTGTGCAGGGGTTCGGGAATTCTGGCTAATAGTGACTCCCGGACGAATTTGAGTCCGGCCGATAGGTAACCCAACGTTATTCTCTTTGTATTTGTCTGTACCTTGGTGACGATTATGCTTCTTGATACACTTAGAAGCCTTCGTTGGCACCTTCAAGATTCTAGAACATTCAAAGGCTACTCATGGGTCGTTTTGAATCTATAAACTACCATGTTCACTATTTTACTGCTCTCTACATCTTGACATCGCCAGCATCCAACGAATACCTAAATACCTCCCAAGTCGTTCGGATAGAGTATTTGGGTTTTACAGTCCAATTTTCTGACTCGGACTGTAAAGTCTTACGCATTGACTGTCAAATCCCTCAGTGTGACTTGAGCTGACACATCTTTATTGATAAACATACGTCAATTAAAAATTAAAACCCAACGATCATATACCTAGTAGTGATTTGTAACAGAGGTTTGTGGCGCCATCCTCATAATGGGTTAGCATGAAATCTAACAAGGATGATTGAAGGTAAAGGCCGTACCTGGTTGCTTCTTTCATATGTTGAACCAGGGCATACGTAGTAACTGAGTTAACTAACTTATGTTCCCAGTGATTGAATGATAACTCGGTCCTTAAATTTTTCTAATCAACAGGAGGTTCATTAAAATCTTTTAAAATGAAGCATCGATTACTAAAGGATTAAGTGATTAATCCGCTTTATAAGACATTGCTCACCTGATCTGATGTAAACAAAACTGTTGATTTCTTGCATTATAAGCGGAAACTAACTAATACGTACATTCTACTTCTATGGGTTACGTTATCCATAACGGTTGAGGCAACGTATTTTCAATGGGTAAAGTCACTTCCCCTCCTGTACATGTCTGAGTTCTGTTGGCTCTTACAAACGCGAAGTCTTCAAAATCAAGCTCTCCCTTATTAGCAGATTGGTCATCCAAGCCCTCGTGAGGACGATTACATCCAGCACGCTGGAGCCCATCTATGCATCTAGCTCTGATTGCTTATGGAACGAGCTAGGGACATTTATGTAACCGATCGAAGACCATTTAATCGGCCTCGTGTTGTGACCAAAACAGTTTCTGTGCCATCCTCGAGCGAAGCCTAACCATCCGAAAATCTACACTTCAAAGGACATTTTCACCAGTATCTAATCTTAGTTTCAGCTTTTTAGGCTCCCCGCTTTTTACATGGTAAGCGGACAACAGGTCTTCCTGTGCTAAAGATCCCTTTGGTCTATCACTATTCTGAAGTATCAAACCTCCTCCATTAAAGGATTTAAATACTACGTTTAGCATACCAGTTTCTTTTCCCTTCAGATGTGTCTCGCCACATAATCCGTAAAACTTTGAAAAGTGACCCCAGAAATATCATTAGGCACTAGCTGGTTAACAAAGCTTTTTATCAATCCATTGTCATTCACACTCTCTAACCCTCGCTACCTAAAAAGGTAGTGACAGCTCCTATCTCTGAGTCAAATTTGTAGTTTTGATCTCTCATAACGCCTCAAGTTTACTGTTTCACACTAAATGAATCGATCTCAGTCATGGAACGCCTAGAAAACCAAACCATTTGGGTAGGTTTGTTCCTGGCAGAAAAACACAGCAAAAACATAGACCCACCACCCAGTGCATGAAAAACGCTTTAGAATCTGGGAATTTATGAAACGCAAGTGTGAATGCAATTTCAACAAAAACAAATGAACTAAAATAAATTAAGTGTAGGAAATGACACGAAACAACAAAAAGCCATTTCCCATAATCGTAGTTGAGAAATTGAGCTGTGATCTGATTGACAGGACAGTTATTTTCATAGGGTTTGGAGGTGAGAGATCTCTGAGCTCAAAACTCGCGTGTACACAACCAGAAATAAATAAAAATTGGTAACCTAGTAAGTACCGGGCGCCTCAAATAAAAATATTGTACTCATCACTTAAAGCTTTTAAATTTTCTTCAAAACCTACAGCCTGTTCTCTCTCGACAAGAACTTCAGACAAACGGTAGCAGTAATAAATTCCCAAAAATACGTAATATGAGAGGTATCTGGCCATTAGTACTGGCCTTGTTAGTTTTAATCAACTTAATTCGTTAGATGTTTGCAGCTATGTTTCCACTTCACTTCTTAATGTGTAAAAGCTCAAGTGACACACTTCTCTCGTCTCCGGCTATCTAGCTTATCCATGTAGATCTTAGATTATTATCAATCCATTGAAGCTATATCTTACAACTAACTGACTCTATCGACTAGAGTCAATTTGAATGTTTTAACTACACAATTTTTATAATTTTGCGTCGAAATCACACTGTCTGGTCATTTCGACTTATACTCCATCATAGCACAGGCCCAGGCTATCCTTGCTTGCAGAACGGCAAGGTTATATATTTGAAGC